GTTTCGGACGTTTCGTCCCGGATTGGGGTTCGGGCAGCGTTACCATGTTGACCGTCATGGTCAACTTGCCCTAAAACAGTTGAGATTATCTGTCCTAAATGAAATGCATACAAACTCGTATACAGGTCCTCGACTAACACGCAAGTTTATAGTTTTGAAGATGAAGTATTTCGGTGATTAACGCATACAGCGGTAGCTAACGATCTGTGTAGCACAAGAAAAACGTATCTCGGACATCGCGTCAAAAACTGCCAAGTTACAATCGTTTTAATAAAGCCTGTTGAAAATTTTAAATTTTTTGTTTTCTTCGAGAACTCCCATTCTCGTACCCAGAGCCCTTCTTACGCGCGGTGCGACGAGGGGCTCTGGCCAAATCCATAACCGGATACCACAAAAACATGGTAAGAAAACAATATCCGGTGTTAGAACTAGCCAATCAGATGCCAGTTCGGGTATGGATTTGGCCAGAGCCCCTCGTCGCACCGCGCGTAAGAAGGACTCTGGGTACGAGAATGCGAGAACTCCTTGTTGTGCACGCTAGACCCCAGGCCTAAAGTACATGCTGCTTCACCTATTCTCGTACCCAGAGCCCTTCTTACGCGCTGCGCGATGAGAGGCTCTGGCCAAATCCAAAACCGGATACCATGAAAACATGGTGAAAGAATATATCCGGTATTAGAACAATAACCTTCGTCGTAGCCAATCAGATGCCAGTTTGATATAGATTTGGCCAGAGCCCCTCGTCGCACCGCGCGTAAGAAGGGCTCTGGGTACGACGAGAATGCTGTTTCACAGCAAGCTGCTCAATTTACTGTTTGGAGTACTCCGGATTTTCGGAACACTAATGGTGGAACAGAAGGAAGTCACATGACTGTTCTGAACTGTTCTGACTACCCCGATTTTCGAGTAGGGACAGCCAGAACAGACACGTGACACTGCCTATTTTCACGTGCTTGGAAATGGAGGCGACATATTTTGTGTATCCAATGCACACTGTATAGAGCGTTATTCTGAAGGGTTAACCGCTATATTTTATATTATTATATATGAGTAAAAACGTTGCAAAGCATACGTAGATGTACAAATAACAGTGAATCATTATACACTTTATTAGTTAACATGCACAACTCAACGTTAGCGAACGAATATTCAGTTATGTTAATAATGTACAATACACCCCTTGGCCTTTTTATAAATGGCTGCCGATTAAAAATTATTTTATGTGCATATAAATTGGCCCAACTAGCCTCGTTTCTGGGTAGAAATTCCTTTGAAATCTTAACATGAGTACGAGGCTAGTTGGGCCAATTTATATGCACATAAAATAATTTTTATTCGGCAACCATTTATGAAAAGGGTGTATAATATCGCCACCAACCTGCATGAACAGGCTTTGTGGTTGGTTGATATTGTCGTCTCGACCAATAAGCAAGCAAGCTTATGCAAGTTTAGACGCGTTTGTCGTTCAGTTAATGAGGCTATTGTATGCTTTCGTTTGTAGTGATTGACAGTTATACATAATTTATAGAATAAATTATAATACGCGGGAAAAGGGGACAGGTAATTAGGGCGCGAAGGAAAAACATTGAGTTTGCATTTAGTAAGTAAAGGAAAATATATAACTATAAATATTGTTTGATTACTACATTGGCGACGAGGATAAATTATGGCGATGAATGGCTTACAGCCAATGCCTTTGTTCGAACCGAAAGCTGATCCAACGAATACAAGCGCTCGATGGACACAGTGGATAGAACGTTTTAACACATATTTAGTCGCTTCAAATGGGAAGGACACTGCACGTAAAAGAGCACTATTATTGTATCAAGCTGGACCTGAAGTTCACGAGATATTCAAAACATTGCCTGACACAGGAGACGAGAAAAATTACGAAGCTGCTGTCAATGCCCTCACTGCATATTTTGAACCAGAAAAAAATCGAATCTATCAAACATATATGTTTAGACAAGCATCTCAACAAGATAATGAAACCATCGACGAATTTCACACACGCTTGAGACGATTAGCAAAACATTGTGAGTTCGTAGATGTTGAATTCGAAATCAAAATGCAAATTGTGTGCAACGGTACATCCTCGAGATTGCGTAAGAAAGCGTTAAAAGAAAGCAATTATTCACTCAAAGATATGTTGATCGATGGTCGAAAATCAGAAACCTGCAGTGCACAAGCCAGTGGCATGGAAGAAAAATTTAAGGATGTACAACTTAATCAAGTTGAGAGAAAACCTGCTCAATCTAAGTGCTATAACTGTGGATTTGCTTACCCTCATTTGGATCGTCCTTGTCCGGCCGAAAATTCAACTTGTAACTCGTGTGGCATACTTGGTCATTTCTCTAGAG